TAGAGGCTTTGTTGTGGTGTATTGTCCTTTTCATTTAGTTCCAGGAATGCTTTTATTTCTTACTTAATTTCTCTTTTGACCCATTTATCATTCAGGAGTTTGTTGTTTAATCTCTATGTGTTCGTGTGGTGACTAGGGCTTCTTCTGGTGTTGATTGTAAGCTTTTTGCATTGCGGTCTGATAGAATGTATGGAATTATTTCAGTCTTTTTGTATTTGTTGAGGTTTGTTTTGTGTCACAGTAGATGATCGACTTTGGAGAAGGTTCCACGGGGAGATGAGTAGAAAGTATGTCCTTTGGTGCTTGGGTGGAATACTCGGTAGATGTCTGTTAGACCCATTTGATATATGGTATTTGATATATGGTATTTAATTCAGATGTCTCTGTTAACTCTCTGCCCTGTTGACCTATCTAATGGAGACAGTGGGGTATTGAAGTCCCCTACTCTTAATGAGTTCGGATTAATCTGGGTCTTAAAGTCATGTATTATTGTTTTTATGAAGTTGGGTGTACGAGATTTTTGTGAATATATGTTCATGATTGTAATATTTTCTTGGTTTATTGTTCCTTTTATCACAATGAAGTGGCCTTCTTTATCTCTTTGGATGAGTTTTAAAGTCTATTTTGTCATATTAGAATTGCAATACCTGCTTTTATCTTAGTACCATTCACTTGGTATATTTTTTTCCATCCTTTCACCTTAAGATAGTGCCTGTCCTATCTTACAGACAACAAAAAGATCGGTTTTATTTCTTAATCCATTCACCTAGTCTGTGTCTTTTGACTGGGGAGTTCAGTACATGAATATTTAAAGTTATTTATGAAAGATGTTTATTGAATCCTGTCATTTTTATTTCTGTTTACATTTTTGATATATCTGTTCTTTTCCACAGTTATACCTTCATTGAATTTCTTTCCACAACCTCTTCAGCTCTTTGTATTTTTCCCCAGAACTCTCTAAAGGGCTGGTTTTGTTGATATGAATTCCTTCAGCCTATTTATGTCATGGAAGATGTTTCTTTCCACTTCGACTATAATAGACATTTTGGTTGGCATCTGTGGTCATTTAAAACTGGGAAAGCCAGGCTCTTCTGGCTTTCATAGTTTGCACTGAAAAGTCAGCTGTAATCCTAAGGGGTTTTCCTTTACATGTGACTTGTTTTTCTTTTGCAGTTTTCAGTATTCTCTCTTTGTTCTGTATGTTTAGTGTTTTTAGTATAATGAGCCATGGAGAGTTTCTTTTCGGGTCCTGTCTATTTGGTGTTCTATGTGCTTCTTGTATTTGTATGGGCACATCTTTCTTTAATTTTGGGAAATTTTCTTCTATAATCCTGTTGAAGATCTGGTCCATGTCATTATCTTGGAATTCTTCCCCTTCCTGTATGCCTATGATTTGTGAGTTTGGTCTTTTTAAGGTGTCACACAATTCCTGCATATTCCATTCTTGTGATTTCTTAAATCTTTCATAACCTTTGCTTGAGTGGTCTAGTTCATCCACTTTATCTTCCAGTCTTGATACACTGTTTTCCATTTCGTTCATCCTATTGTTGAGGCTTTCTCCTGCCGTTTCTAATTGGCTTACTGAGTCGGAATAGTCTTCAATATTTCTAGCTCTTTTCTGAATTCATTCAGAAGTTTCTCCCTGTCTTCCTTCAGTTCTTTGATTTCTTTGTGTGTTGTTTAAATTCACTGAATTCTTTTATCATGTTTATAATTGTTCTTTTGAGTTGCATGTCATGGGCGTTCTCATTGTACTCCTCTAGAGGACTACTGGTATTTGGTGGGGATAAGTTATTTTGGTTTTTCATGTTATTATTTTTTTCTCTGTGATTTTGACATGTGAATTTCTTTTGTTGTTTCTGATTCTTGTGTGAGGCTCAAGTCTTCAAGTTTAGGTCTGCTTCTTTTTGTAAACTTTATGTCCCTTTGTGGTTTACTCTTTTGGGCATGAAAAGCTGGTTCCTCTAAGCTTCTTGTTCTCTCTTGATTTTCTACTGGAGTGGCCAGATTGCTTTTGTCTTCAGGAGTTCCCACAGAGGTCCAAGTCAGATGAGGATCAGATGATCTTAGGATTTCTCCTAAGGTCTGGATCCATCCAGGAAAGATTTTGGCCTCAGGAATTTGGGGGTTGGACTGTCCTGGGAGCAGGGCCCAGGAAAGAAGCTGGTCTCTGGCAGCTGGTGGCCGAGACACTCAGAGGTGCAAAGGGAGACAGAGGTGGGAAGAAGCCCCAAGGGCTCCTGGTGACTGCACTGAGGAACTGGGTTGGTCTGGATGCAAAGTATCAAGAAGCCAAAAGGTCAGCCCCAGCATCCGGAAAAAAGGCTGATGGGTCGTTGTAGGCCAGGGAAGCAGATGGGGGGTGAAGGCAGGACCAGGCCCAGAGGGCTCCTGGGGACCTCGAGAGGAACTGGGTCCATCTGGATGCAAAGGATCAGGAAGCGGTGGTGGCCGCGAGCCAAGAGCTCAGCCAGGAAACAGGCTGGTGGGCCGTGCAGCCCAGGGAAGCAGAGGGAGGATGAGTAGAATTCTTTAACCTTTGGTGATTCTTTTTCCTGGAAGGTTATTCTGAAAATAATAATGAGGTTTGTTGGTTCTCTAAGCTTCATTGCAGTGGGCTTTACAAGTAAAGCTAAAATTACTAATGAGTGCTGGCAGCATGGCCAGTGAGCACAGGAAAAGAAGACACACTCAGTCAGCTAATTTCGGGCCACCAGAAGATGCTGTGCCAGGCCTTCTGAGTCCAGTGGAGAGTCAACTGTAACATCTACTGTTTGCAAGTGCCTTCTTTGAGCCAGTCGCTCCACATGCATCCTTTCATTTAATCCTCACATTATGAGGTACGATGTCTTTAATAAGCTCCTTTTATGAGAGGGAAATTATTATTCTGTGAAGTTTAATATCATCCTCACTGACAGAGCTCACGAATAGAAGCACCAGGATTGGAACTTGTAAATGGGAGCTTTTCATGCCCCACCCCCATGAGTTTATTTTGACCACAGGTCTGTCAGGTGATATGTGTAAGTGAGCCTGTGTTGATACTGCTGTTTTTGTTTGCCTCCATCCTTACATGTTGGTCCCATTCTGCTCTTTTCCTTCATGTCTGGGTTCATTTTATTGCTTGTACTTTTTTCTTTCTCCTGCTTTAATGATGGGCCATGGTTACCCATTCTTTGATACTCAGCAGTGACAACCTACATCCTTATTCAGAAAAGTCCTTGTTTCTTCATATCTCTCATTTGGCTTAACAGCAAAGCTGAAAAAGGTTACTGATGACAGTTTGAACCTTTTCAGTATGCAAATTTGTAATGGCACAAGCGATTTTATATTAGCATAATAGAGTTCTTAACTATTCATTTTTATCACTGCCTGTTCAATATGTCAAGCTGTAAAATGGAGTATTTTAATTTACAGGAATGATTCACAGTTTGACAAATGAATGTTAAAGTACTGATTTCCAAAGTGCAAGTTTTTCTGCAATTCTGTGGGCTCCTTGATATAAGGGCTGCATCCCGGTTTCTGCACAGGGAACTGCCTGTACATGCCCTCCATGAGTAATGAAGATCAATGAGTAATAATGATCAGTGCTGTTGGACTAACTTTAAAATCTCATATACTTAAGAGGCATGTTGGATATACTTTAAACAACTATAAATAATAAAAACAAGGGTTTCTTTAGGTTATACAAATGATTCAGTCTACATGCATTTAATTGCAATAAAATAATGATTCCGGCAATTAATGATAAATGTTATACAGAAAAGCAAGATCAACTTTAAAGGAATAAATGGGTGCTGAATATTTTGAAAATAATTGCTAGAAACATTTCTAAAAGATTATTTTTAATACCATTTGCTAGGGTGTTGGGGAACTGAACACCAGGGCCTTGTATATGCTAGGTTAGTTGCTTTACCACTGATTACATCCCTAGCTCTGCCTGTTGAATTTTTAAACCATTTTTCATATGAAAATATTTTTGCTGAAGCAGATTAAAGTTATATAGGTGTTGGAACTGTCTGAACATTTTGTTAAAATGATTCAAGGGGCTGGAGAGATGGCTCAGTGGTTAAGAACACTGGCTGCTTTTGCAGAGGTCCCAGCACCTATATGTGGTTGCTAGGAACCATCTGTAACTTTGGATCCAGGGGCTCTTGTGCCCTCTTCTACTGTCCATGGGTATTGAACACATGGGTGTGTTTTACATGCAGGCAAAACACTCATACACATTAAAATAAAAATAAGCAAATAAAATTTTTTAACTTTAAAAAAATTTTAATATTTTCATTTTATGTGGATGCGTGTATTGCCTGCATGTAGGTAAGTGCACCCGTGTCGTGCAGTGTCCGTGGAGGTCAGAAGAGGCTGTCAGATCCCCTGGGACTGGAGTTATGGACAGTTGTTAGCTGCCATGTGGGTGCTGGGATTCAAACCTGGGTTTTCTGCAAGAACAGTGTTCTTAACCGCTGAGCCATCTCTCCAGCCCCAATAAATAAAATTTTTAAGTGATTTGAAACTTAGATCAGAGCCAGACATGATAGCTCACTCTTTTAATTCCAGCACTTAGAAGGCTGGGGTGGGAAAATTGCCACACTCCAAGCCAGCTTGAGCTTGGGCTAATGAGTTCCAGGCCACCTTGGACTACAGTGTAAGACCCTATCTAAAACAAAAAGCAAAAAATTTAGACCATATGAGCACACTTATATATTTACTTATGAGTTTTCACAGTAGAATATACTTGATTCAGTATAGTCTCAAGGTTGAAATTCAGTGTTTTCCTAGTTTCCTAGCTTAACTACACCTGGAACATAATATTTTGTTTAAAGCATTATGTAGAGATGCGCTGTTTTACCATTTTTCACCTACACATGAATGTGAGCTGTGGGAGTCAGAACAGTTTTTTCAGCATCATGTCTGCTTGTTTTTAGAAGTGCCTCATGCGTCATGGTGAGAGGAGGCCTGGCTGTTAGGTGTAACTGCATGTCTGGATGTTACTTTTGCAGATGATCCAGTCCCTCAAGGCATTGATTGAAAATGCAGATGCTGTATATGAAAAGATCGTGCATTGTCAGAAAGCAGGTAAGTGAAATTTCTTTAAAAAAAATTCAAAGCATCATTTCTTTTCCTCAAAATTATGTCATCTTTTTAATGTTCTATTAAGAAAATTAGATAAAACGATTATTTTTCCATAGCCAAAGAAAATTCAATGGTTCTCAACCATGGATAGTAAATTCACCAGGGGAGCTTTAAAAACACATTAATGCAACAAATTTTAAAAAGTATTATATTTCATGAAGAAACATGGAGATTTATATCATGTTAATTAGTAGAGGTGGTAAACATTACCACTGAAATCTACCTGATGACTTTATAGACATACACAGGCACCAAAGATCCAAGTGCAACAGATTATGACTAGTAATAATCAGATACATGCAGATTAGAGAAGGCGCAGCAACATCTCAGTGTTAGTGGCAAAAACAATGAGTCTTTCTGCAAGGAACAATATATTCTAAAGTGAAATGGAGATCTTTTTTAAAGGTTAAAAGCTTATTCAATTTTATGTCTTACAGGGCTTATACTGAGTTCAATATTGTATAACTGTATTAATTCAACTGTGAACCTAGAAACTTACAGCAACTTGTGAAAGAGATGCACTCTTGCTCTGGAGTGTGTTACTGAATATGTTAAATCTGTAGTGAAATTCTTCTTCTAATCATGTAGTTATTAAAAAATTTTTTAAAAAGTAAATAATGATTAAGAAAAAAATGCATTGGTCTGAAGTGTTGACTAGGAAATTAATACCTATTAAAAATCCCCAAATGATGGGCTGGGTGTGGTGGTGCACCACTTTAATCCCAATGCTCAGGAGGCAGAGGCAGATGGATTTTTTTATGTTCGAGGCCATCCTGGTCTACATAGCAAGTTCCAGGCCAGATGGGGCTACAGGGGAATCCTGTCTCAAAAAAAAAAAAAAAAAAAAAAAATCCCATGTGAGCTGAGCCTGGTGGTTCACACCTTCAATCTTGACACATGGGATCCTGCTTCATAGTGAGCCTCTGTCGCCAAAAAAACAAAAATCCCTAAGCATTTCTTAACATGGAGCCATAATTAAGACCCCTGCATGAATCTCTTCGTCAGTACTACCTATGCTGCCAAACCTCCTCCCAGTTACCTGTGACTTTCTAGTATGGGGGCGGGAGGGGCTTGAGGAGCAAAGGAGTGGTTTCTTAGAGAAGCTATAGTAATATCTTACATTGTAATAGAAACACAGTGCTTTCAGTTCTCCAATTTCAAGTGTCACTTTGGAAAATTCTAACATAGAGAGTATTTGTTAAGTCTGACCTTACTTTTTGAGTTTTCTTTAAATTAAGAAACTCCTTAACTACTGTGATGCCTTTAAAAAGCCAATGCTTTGGGGCTGGAGAGATGGCTCAGCGGTTAAGAGCACTGACTGCTCTGGCAGAGGACCTGGGTTCGATTCCCAGCACCCACCTGGTGGCTACAAACCATCCTTAACTCCAGTTTCAGGGGAACCTGAAGGCCTCTTCTGTCATGCAATGCATTGCATGACACAGGTGTACTGACATGTATGCAGGCAATATACTCATACACATAAAATAAAAATAATAAAAACATTTTTTAAAAAAGTCAATGCTTTTCAAAATGAATTAAAGTAGATTGGAAATAAAGACATGTGTGATAATTTTTGGTATTTGTTGAATGAATATATTAACAGCTAATCAACAAACTCTCAAATCCTCATCTTGTTTTTCTTTTTTGTTTGCAAAATACTGTTAGCAAAATGGTCTTTTTTATTTGTAGTCCTTTCTGAGCTAGTTTTTGCTACAATCTCAGTCACCATTTTATTTATTTATTTTTTTTGACGTTTTGGAGACAGGGTCTCCCTGTAGCCCCAGCTGTCCTGGAACTCACTATGTAGACCAGGCTGGCCTTGAACTCACAGAGATCCGCCTGCCTCTGCCTCCCAAGTGCTGGGTCTACAGGCATGTGGCCACCATGCCTGGCAAGTTTTTTTTTTAATTATTTTTATTCATTATTTTCATTTTATGTGTATGAGTGTATTGCCTGCATGTATGTGAGTGCACCCCTGTTGTGCAATGCCACCAAGGTCAGAAGAAAGTGTCAGATTCCCCTGGAACTGGAGTTAAGGATGGTTCGTAGCCACCATGTAGGTGCTGGGAATAGAACCCAGGTCCTCTGCAAGAGCACTCAGTGCTGGGATTAAAGGCGTGCGCCACCACGCCCGGCTTCAGTCACCATTTTTAGCAAATAGAAATTAAGGAATTATGGGCTGGAGAGATGGCTCAGCAGTTAAGAACACTGACTGTTCTTGCAGAAGACCCAGGTTTGAATCCCAGCACCCACATGCCAGCTAACAACTGTCTGTAACTCCAGTTCCAGGGGATCCGACAGCCTCTCCTGTCTTCCGCGGACATTGCACAACACGGGTGCATGCAGGCAATACATGCATACATATAAAATAAAAATAATAAATAAAATATTTTAGAAATTAAGGAATTATGCATTGACTTGCCAGGCTCGATTCAAATCTGAGATCCAGATTTGACAAAATTATGTAAAATTTATCATATAACTACATTTTTAACTTTTGGTTGCATATGGTACTTGATAGCTCTTGCATACCAAGATATGAAAAATACTGAGTCTAGTTTTATTCTTCTAAAATCTTCAGATCATGCAAGAGATGTGAAAATGAGCTTGGTGAAAATAATGAGTACTCAGTGTGTGTTAGTCAGTGGTCTGCTCCATTGTGAGGCAGTGGGAAGCCATTGATTTGTTTGAGCAGAACAGGATGGGGACTGAGCTGAAAGGTGGTGGGCACCACGGCTGTGTACAGAGAACTTTCAAAGGCAGAATCAGTTGGAGCTGTTGACAATCTAGAAGGTGCTTGTGAGAGCAGCAGGGAAGGAAAGGAAGTGAAAGTGAAAGTCACTTACCGCTAACCCGACTCCCCTTTCCCCTGCTACCCCCTGAGTGTTCTTCCCCATCAGAGTCTGGGAAGGCTTCTCTCCATTCTCTGCCAATCTGTAATATTTCTCTTTTGATATTGCCCAGTGTTCCTAGAGGCCTTTCATGTTTCTAGGATTTATGTTACCAAAGTATTGTGTTCAGTCCTTCAAACTGCTTATTTCCTTCAGCTGTTGTACATCTTATCAATGCATTCCATCTTCTACACAGGGTAATAGCTTCTTACAGCACCACGACTGTATGTTGTCCCCCCCCCCCACAAGACATCTAACATTCTGTGCAGAGTGGTGAATCGACTATTAACTAATGAAATGTGATTTGACTTATATTAAATATTCTATTAAACACATGCACATGAGCATTGTGGACTTTGTGGAATTTTAAGCAGGAACTGTTTCTTAATTCAGTTATTTGTCATTTCTGAAAATTCACAAGGTTATGAAATTTGATAATTTCTAGTATAATGGGCTTCTATTGCTCAGCTTGATTTTGTTAAGGAAAGTGCTTGCTCCATGTAGTAAGCTGCAGAGTGTTATGTACTAGGGATTGTTCTGGTCAGTGGTGGAGAGGGACTATGGTGTTATGCTCCAGGTGCCCCAGACATAAAGCCGTTCAGAGGCAAGGTTTACCTTCTGGTTTAGTAGTCACTTTGCTGCCCACACAGAAGTACTTACCTTAGAGTCCCTCAGTCTTTCATTTCTCATGATTGCAGTTATTTTAAGGACATATAGTCATTACGCATGTGAAGAATTGCTAATTTGTATTGGGCTCAAAAGACATTTGCATTAGATTCTACTTTTGATAAGTGTCATTCTGCTTGTAGAATTTTAATATTGTAAAGGAAGATACAGCTCATTAAAATACAAGAAAGAATTGAGAAGTATTTCCAGCTTTTAAAACACAATTTTACATTCTTTTTACATAAAACTTTACTTAAACAATTAAATGGAAATATGAAGTCTAGCAAGCATCCATCCCAACCACATGTTAAGAAGTGTGCCCAGGCTTAGATGTCTGGCTCTGTGCAGATTTTGAGGGAAGGGAATGTGTCAGTTGTTGTTAAGTGAAAAGAGAATGGGGCAGGAGAGGTGTGGCTAGTGAAAGGCTCCTGCCAGGCTGGAATGACGATCTGTAGGCCCCCAGAGGGATCGGGCCCAAAGGGTAGGAGAACGCACTGTGGAAACAGCTCTGTAATGGGTGACAAAGCCTCTGCATAGTCCACTTTTCCTGGAGAAAAACTGATGGCACAGAGAATTGGGAGTAAAGGGAACTTTTTATAAGAAAACTGTTCCTAGGAATATGAAGGAGCCAGTGAAGAGGACGATATTAAAAGATAGGCAGAGGGCCAGTGGCTCAGCAGGTAAAGGTGCTGGGTGACAGCTTGAGTTCGATCCCGAGGACCTGCATGGCAGGAGAGAAACAATTCCTACAAATTGGCCTCTGACCTATACACACACAATTTTTTAAAGATAGGCAGAATTAAAGAATAGAAAAAGTGAGGTGAGGAGGAAGGGGATGGAAGGAAGTACGTAGCATGGTACACTGGATCTTAGGAATGGGGAGGAGGGCCCCCTTCTGAGACAGGTAGAAGGATATAATATATAGGGAAAGCCTGAGACCAGAGGAGCTCATTCCACTGGGGAGGGGCATAGGAGCAGCATGCAGATAACCCCAACTTGGGGTGAGGAAATAAAAGAGGGAACTTGGGACAGGGGAGGACATGGGACATTTGTTCAGTCAGGGCTCAGCAGTGCCAGCTGAAGGTGGTGGCTATATATCAGATCATTCCAAGGTGGTACAGGAGGTGGCGTCTGGATACCATGTCCTCAAGATCAAGAAGTACTAAATGACAGAGCATCCAAGGATGAGTGTGTATAACCTAACACACTCTTTCTTAAGTAACTAACTGGGAAGGAACAAGCAGGACAGCTCAACAGGAACCTGTACCTGAAGAAAGCATAAAAATTATTTTTAAGTACTTATAAACACTGATACAGTTTGCCAAATTCATCTAGAGCAAAGTATCTTTCCCGCTGTCTCATCTTTATCTCTTTCTCTTCAATGAC